TAAAAAGGCTGGTCGCAGTGTAGATTGGAGATTTATTTATAAATTGTTAAATTTGTGGCATCCAAAAGGCCTGAAAGGTTAAAAATAGTTATTGAAAGCTTCAAATATTAATTTAAATAGAGTTAATAATATGCCAGATCTCCTAAATCATTTATTCTTCATGCAGGCAGCCATGTTTTTATCCTTTTTCTTTTAGCATTGCCCAATGCCAAAGGTGAAGGTGACAATGTTTGTGTGTGAGTGTGTGTGTGTGTGTGTGTGTGTGTGTGTGGGGGGGGGTATTTCACAGATATTGAGCTAAAATTTGTTGAGGTAATAGATGGGAGCCACCACAACACATTGAGGTCTAATCGATCAAACAGTAACTAATTTTCAAACTTTGCCATTAACTTTTATAGTCAACTCTGCCTGTCTGTTAGCAAAATATCTCATGACATGAAAATAATCACTAGGTCGTCTACAAATGGTATCTATGGGAGTCATCCCAATTCAAAAGATTTGCAACAGTGAAAAGTCAATGTAAGCCAACACAAAAAAGAGTATACTGCAACTCAGACAATGTTACAGAAGAATTTAGCTTACATCTGGTGGGGTAGTAGCCGAGTGTCATCCCTAAAATGTACTCAGAGTGCAAACAGTTCAACATTGTTGCTCAGAACTTTAGCATCAACTGTTTATGTGAACCTTGTCTGTGTGATGCCACGACATGTCATGAACCCCTGGACAAATCCCACCCTAACCTGATACAATACAGGCAAATTCAATTTACTATTGTTCCTTCCTAACTAGGAGGTGCTTTACCTCAGTTACACCAGGTATGACATTTAACTTGTGGTGTTAATTTTACAGGTCACAATAACAAAGACAGTGGCACGGTGGCACAGTAGATGGAGCTGCTGCCTCTCAGGAAGAAGGTTGCCAGACCAAATCCCAGCCCAGGGCCTTTCTGGGTGGAGTTTGCATGTTCTCTATGTGCATGTGTGGGTTGTCTCCAGGTAGGCTACTCTGATTTCCTCCCACACACCAAAAACATGTATGCTAGTGTAGATGAACATATTCTGTGATATATTCATAAATTAAACAGATTCATTAATTTGTCTGGACTGGATAATATCGTGCATTTAATTATTAAAAATGTAACGTGAGACGTTAATTTTCTTTGACCCATCAAAATGAACGTGGTCATTTATTAACAGAATCAAAATTTAACATCAAACATTTACATTGATTTGGCAAAATATGAAAATAACAACAGGTTAATTAATCAGTTTACAATTAGAAAACCATACGGCGATGGTTTCCCTTGCTTCCAGCTGTACAACAGACATTTCTAAAATTATCTGGAATGATTTCTAGCAGATAGAAGAGTTTAAAGATGGAAAGATGAAGTTTAGAGGGAGGGAGATGGTGTGTGTGAGTGAAAGTGTTGAACAGAACGGCACCCTCCATTCGAACCCAGCTTTCCTCGGTACGCTCGGTAGTAAACTCGACTCATTACCTCTCTGACGATGAATCAGCGGATACGGAGCTCCAGTTAACGCTACCGGTCCAGCATCTCCGTAGGATGGCAGAGAACCGTCCGGAGTGGTGGCGGGACTTCATCAACAACAGTTCACCTCACGAGTGGACTTCACATGAGTGGAGTCCTTCAGAAGTTCCACTCAGATGTGGAAGATTGCATAATTCCCACAAGACTCGGAAGAGCTCTGGATCATGTCTGGACTTCTGTTCTCCCCAGCACTTCTTCCGTTCGGTTCTGCTCCCAGAACTGAACTCGACTGGAGCTGCAAACGACTGAAGCCGGTTTGAACTAGGAAGTACCGACATTTAAAGAGTTCTATTTCCGGTTCATTTGGGAGGTTCCTGATTGGTCAAATCGACCAAACAGAGGTGTGTTTTTGTGATGTAAGAGGTTATTAAAAGTCAAGGAAAAAGATTGAGTTGTTTAAGAACAGACAGAAGATTGCTATGAAGATTCCAGACTTCGTGGAGTCAATTCTCTAGTATCTTTCTGTAAAAGTTAAACATGACATTTCTTTTCAGTAAACTTGCAGTTGACCGAAACTTGACCTTTGACCAACTTACACAACTTGCTCATTGAAGACAGAAAATCAAGAAATTGAATCATTACTCTGTAACACATTCTTAACTCGATTTCCACTTTGAATGAGGATAAAAAATCACTAATACTGTTTCACAGCGGATTTAAAAATGAGTAGTTTACTTCAACATTTGAAAATGGTTTGAACTAAACACAATTTGATTATCAAAACATTTGTAAAATAGTAATGATAATAGAAAAAGAGAGTGTTCTTTCAATTGATCAGTGCAGGACACTTAGAAAGTCTCTGGATGAACTTAATCTTGTGTTTCTGGACTCAAATCAATGAAATAACAGTTCTTGTCCCAGAAAGGCCCCCAAGGCCAGGATTTGACCTCAGGCTTAGTTCACTACACTAGACTAACTGGTAACTAAATTGTCCCTAGCTGTGAAAGGTTATTTGTCTCTACATTGGCAACTCAGAACACCACATACAGAACCCCATGGACTTTGTGGATAAGGTGAGGGATGTCATCATGGAGACTGATGAAACAATGGTCTCTTTTGATGTCACATCACTCTTTATGTGCATTCCTGTTGATGATGCAGTAGAGGTGGTCAGTTTAAGATTAAAATCAGACACCACTCTGAGCAGCAGGACCACGCTTTCCACATAACAACTGTGTCAACTCTTGAAACTGTGCCTGCAGTCAACCTACTTCACATATGGGGAGCAATATTATAGGCAGAAACATGGGTGTGCTACGGGCACTACAGTTGCCAACCTGTACATGGAGGAGGTAGAAAAGAGCCTTGACGTCCTTTTCAAGGACACCACCAAGTCATTGGTTCAGGTATGTTGATGACACCTGGGTTAAAATTCAATATCAGGAAGTTCAACATTTCACTGACCACATCAACTCTGTGATAAATACATCAAGTTCACACAAGAAGATGTAAAAAAAATGGCAGGTTGGTTTTCTTGGATTGTGAGGTCTCAGTCGCTGATAGAGGACATTTGGAAACGAATGTGTTCCACAAACCCACCCACACAGACCAGTATTTGTGGTTTGACTCCCATCACCCTCTGGAGCACAAGTTAGGAGTCATCATGACTCTGTACCACAGAGCAGACAGTGTCCTGACAAACCCAGGAGCCAGGCAGAAGGAGAAATCCCCCCACAAAACCCACCCTGGAGCAATGTGGATATCCTAACTGGGCCTTCCTGAAAGCAGAGAAGAAACCCAGGCAGGACTCCAGTCAGCCATCAGGTGAAAAGGAGGAACCCAGACCAGTGGTCATTCCATATGTTGGGGAAGTATCCAAGAAACTGAGATGTTTTTTTTTTCTAAACATAACGTCCCAGTGGCTTTTAAACCCCAAAATACATTACAGCAAAGACTGGTTCATCCCAAAGATCCAGTCCCCCGGCAAAAACAGAGTAATGTTGTGTATGTTGTTCAGTGTCAGGAGGGCTGTGATCAGTCTTACATCGGGGAAACTAAACAGCCACTGGCCAAAAGAATGGCCCAGCACCAAAGATCAACATCATCAGGCCAGGACTCTGCGGTCTACACTCATCTCCAGGCCATCTCCAGGCCAGCGGTCACTTTTTCAAGGATGAAGATGTTCACATCCTGGACAGAGAGGAACGATGGTTTGAGAGAGGAGTAAAGGAGGCCATCTTTGTGAAAAGAAATCGTCCATCATTAAACAGGGGTGGAGGCCTCCGGGTTCAACTGTCCCCCTCTTACAATGCTGTGATTGATAGTATCGCTCAGCCCTCTGTGAATAGTGAACAGCCATCAGGGCACTAATGTTAGGCTGATGGTCCTCCTTTATCATGTGAACAGCTGGTTCTGGATGTCAGCAACAAACTGATTGATCCACTCTGAGAAGGTGCTATTTATAGGATTGAGTTTAGTGTGGCTTCTCAGACTGACAAAAGTCTTTTGGATAAAAGACGAAACGTTTTAACAAGTTTTTAATTAATTAGCTAGTTTATTTATTTATTTTGAATCCGTCCAGAGGACCTTACTAACTTTGTTAAGATTTTTCTACCTGGATTATTGATCCTTTATCAGGATATACTTTACAAGATGGACTACATTAAAACGGTTTTATAGGAATTCATTCAAAGATTGCTTTTGGTGGCAGGCTTGTCTATAAAACGTTTGTACAAAAAGGCTTCCTGTAGTTTAAACGCACTATAGATTAAAGAGCTAAATTTTAATTTGAAGGGTGTGTTTTTGCTAACATGACTTTAAACGGATCCCCACCTCCGGACATGTTTTTATTTTATTTGCCTTTCATTTGTTCCCTTTCTGTCTTCAGCTTGATGTAAACTGAGGCTGTCAATGAGGTTGTTGGGATAATTGTGCGCGCAGCTGTATGACGTCACACACCCAGCGCTCTGCACCTCGAGCTTCTTTCTCCTCAGTGTGGAGTGGAGGGCAGACCCGACGTCTTCGCACCTGCTTTGCGGACACTATTTGATATTTTTCAGCCTTTTGTGTGTGTGTGTGTGTGTGTGTGTGTGTGTGGGCGGGGGGATATAACTCATTTACACCTAACCTCTTTCCTTAGTAAGTTTTAGAGTTTGGCACCTTTCATCGTTCGGCTGTTGAGTTTTTATTTTTTATACAAGTTTTTCCTCCCAGAACTAACAGTTTGTGACAGCTCTCACGCACACACCCGCGCGCAGACTGACGGAGCAGACGGAATAAGCGCGGAGTGAGTGATTCTTGTCCTTTAAGGCTCCTTGTTTTGTCTGCTGTGGTTCTGAGGCTGCCGGACTCTCAGTGTTGGGGAGGTGGAGGTCTCCGCGCTCTTTGGATCTTACAGGATGAACCGTCATTTCAGCATAAATTGTGCGCGAGCAGAAGAAACGTGGACCTGCCTCCCAAGTTATTTTTGACATTTTATTTTAACTTCACAGAGACCACTTCAAAGAGCGCAATGATTTTAACTTTTGTCTTTATTTTGTCCATGCTGGGTAAGTGTTTCATCTTTTGAATTTCTTCAGTTTTCACACTTTATATGTGCTTTTTATTGCAGTAAATGCAGCTTACGCCGAATAAATAAGGTATTGAAGTTGATTTATTCTGATTTCTAAGCAGCATTTCATGAAGTCTGCAATAATCCCAGGCTATTTCAGGTTGGCCTCAAGCGCTTTCCAAGCCCCGCTGTGCGTAAAATCCATCTCATCCAGTTTTCGTTACGCGCAGATTCGGTGCTCCCCTCAAAGGCTGACGGCGGCTCAGCGTCCCGTCCCTCCAGGCTGGACTGCGTGAAGGCCAGCGAGCACTGTCTGAAGGAGTACTCCTGCAGCACCAAGTACCGGACCATGAGGCAGTGCGTGGCGGGCAGGGAGAGCAACTTCAGCGCGGTCACGGGTCCAGAGGCGCAGGGCGAGTGCCGCAGCGCCATAGATGCCATGAAGCAGAGCTCCCTTTACAACTGCAGGTGCAGGAGGGGCATGAAGAAGGAGAAGAATTGTCTGCGGATATTTTGGAGTATATTTCAGAGTTTACAAGGTATATGAGCTCAGATGGACGCATTTGGCGCATAAAAATTGTGCGTAAAAGGCATATAAACTCAAGGCTAAACCATCAACAGGATGTGTTCAGTTTCTTCAAAGTAAAATAATAGCTCATATAAGCAAACAAAGTGGAACAAAATGCACGTGTTATTTCTATCCTAAGCAGCCATCTGAGAAACTCTTTTTCTTTGAATTTATTTGTTTTGTCTAAAAAGGGTTGTTACTGTGGTTAAAAAAAACAAACAAAAAAAAAAACAGCTGTGATTTCAAGCCAGAACATGTTTTCAGAGTGAATAGATGTGCTATAATCAAAGTCACAATAGTTCTACTTGTTCATAATGTCTCTATATAAGCCCATAATGCAACATATTCAGTACAGAGGAACACATCAAGATGCAGCCTGTTCGCAGATTCCTTTCCCATTCGCAAAAGTGAGGCTGATGAATGTATCTGCATTCATCTGTTTTTAGTATAAAATAATATAATTCATAAAACAAACACTTTTAGCAATGAATAATTGAAAGGGAATATTATGGATTTAATAAATCTTGTCCTTTCCTCTCACACAAATGTGTTTACATGTAGGACCCACACACACATTCTTGTTTTTAGGCCTTCATGAGGATGCTCATTTGATCCCAGACATTCCAGTGTCCCTCTCATGTATCAATCCTAATTTATTCCCTAATCTAACTGTTAGTGATAATTTAACCATAATTATAGTTCAACTCAAGTCTGAATCTTTGAAAATTACTTCATACCCATAGGTACTGCAATTTAGCTCCCCTGTTAACAAAGTGTCCTCATAATTCGGTGGTTTTGCAGAACCCCATGATAGCAGAAAAACAAGCCCATACACAGTTTCAGACACACATTGTTGACAATCTGTTCTGCCCTGCAGGTAATGATTTACTGGAATACTCCCCGTATGAGCCAGTCAATAGCCGGCTCTCAGACATCTTCCGCTTGGCTCCCATCATAGCTGGTAAGAAGAGATTTTCATGTTTCCAAAGGCTTCAATTTGGGAAGTGTTAAGTCACTGTACATATCACTGACATGTCTCAGTTGTGCTCATCTTAAGTCAGCACAACAAATCTGTCACTATATTTGACATTCGCTCTCCTCTATCACTGTCTGGTTCCAGGCTGCAGCTTTCAGTGCCCATTATCTATCACAAAAGCTTTTATCTGCTACTGTGACCTGCAGTACACAAAGCAGAATAATTTAGTATATTTCACATTCAGACCCTCAACGCAATGATGAGAGGTCTGCATGTTTTTCCACTGTCACAGTACTAATATGCTGAACGGCTTTTATGTGCTAGTTTTGAATTAATCATCCTTTTAGAGTAGAAGTTCTTTTGTTGGAGCTCCAGGAGCCTGTTGAGGCTGAATGCCTAGATTTTTTTTAAAGGAAAAAAGAATAGTTTGCCTTTGTAAATTCAAATGTCATACATGTCCACAAACGTCAGAGGTGGACCTGGGAGTGTACACTGAGACAGGCCTATATTTAGTTTCACAGAGGAGCAATTAACCATCTGTCTGCATTCAATGGCACAGCAGAAGTAGAGCTCTATGACAGAATTCACTGGTTCTCCACTGTGTTGGGCTTTCTGGCTGGAGGAGACCATCTGTTGAACTGGCCAGCTAGCATTTCAGTAAAAAAAAGTTTTCTGTTTCTCTTTCTCCTACCCTGTCTGCCTGTTTCTGGCTCTCACTGTGATTGAATCCACTTACCGTGTCACAATGGTTTTGCTCCACCTGCAGTGGCATAATGCTTTATTGTTATTTTAAATTCAGAGTCAAGAAAACATCAGAGTTCGCAATTTTCTACTGCACTGCAATGCTGCATAAATGGTTTGCTGAAATGTTTAGCAATAAGAAATTTCCAAGTACCAGTTGATAATACTAATTTGGTTAAGTGTTCACATTGCAATTTAGAAAGCATGGGTAAACAAAATAAGGCAAAAAAGGTAATAAAAACAATTTATATTCAATTCCTTTTTTACTATAAAACCTTATGCTTGGTTTAAATTAAATGAAGTAAAAGACAGCAAAAACTCAAACAACTCAACTGAAGAAATGAGAAAAGGTAAAATCTTAAGAAATGATTCCTCACTAATGTGCTCTTCTATCAAAGTCAATGACTTAGAATATGGAAACTTGGCAGGATAACTTATCTGTATTAGGTGCTATTATCATAAGAAATCACCTCAATTACTTTGATTATGTGAGCAAGGCAAATTAAGATATGAAGCTGGAGCTGAGTAGTCATTTCTTAACATAAAGAAGTGCGTAACCAGCCTGAAAGACCTTTAAGGGGAAAAAAATCAACTAATGGTGTGGATATCACAAATCCATTTACCATAAATGACCTCACTCCTGTTTGAAACTAAGCCAAGCCTGGGGAAATCTGCAGTGTAACATAATGCATGTGTGAATCAAGACAGAAAAGCCTTTACACTCTTTGATCAATATAAAGATGCTGCCTTTACCTTATATTAGGACACACTTTTAGCCATGTGTGAATTATTTCTTCAATAAAATGACACTGAAGCAACAAACAAACTGACCAGACAATTGCTGATAGTGAGGGTATACAGGGTCAGTTATATTTAGTTCTTGTTTTACACTGTATTGTATTATTTTCATGCAGATGTAAATTCCATCAGACGTTGTAATAATCATGTTGGAGGGGTTAGCCATGTTAGTTTAGCTAATGTTACTGCTGCTATTTGATGGCAAATTATCCTCTTGTTTAGTTAAAGTAGGGAAATACAGTAAAAAAAATTTAGGGTAATGGTCCTCAAACTGTGATACAAGTACCACAGATACTCAATTCAATTCAGTTTATTTATATTGCACCGTCACAACAGAAGTTGTTTCAGGACACTGTGCAAAAACATTCACATATAGGTACATAAAAAGCCAATTAGTAAAGTTATCTATTTAAGGAAGCCAGCAGACTCGAATCTTCACTTTGTCACAGTCTCCCATCCTGAGCAAGCACAAAGGCAACAGTGAAAAGAAAAACTCAGTTTTAACAGGAAAAAACCTCCAACAGAACCAGGTTCAGGATGAGCGGTCATCTGCTTCAACCAGCTGGGTTTGAGAGGACAGGAAAGACAAATGGACACAGAATGGCAGGTCCAGGCATACATTCTATAGGATGAAAGACAAAAACACATTTTAAGGATATAATTAACTACAAATACAAAACAGGTAGTGTAGAGCAAGTAAAGACAGCAGCAGAGAGAGGAAATAAGGTCAATTTGTCCTCCAGCAGTCTGAGCCTATGGCAGTATAACTAAGGGATAGCTCAGAAAAACAGAGCCAACCCTAACTATAGGATTTATCAAAAAGGGAAGACTTAAATTTAGTCTTAAAAGTAGACAAGGTGTCAGCCTCACGTATAGAAACTGGAAGTTGGTTCTACAAGAGAGGAGCCTGATAACTGAAAGCTCTGCCTCCCATTCTACTTTTGGAAACTCTAGGAACCACAAGTAAACCTGCAGTATGACAGTGAAGAGCTCTGTTAGGAAAATATGGAACAATAAGATCTGTATTATAAGATGGAGCTAGGTTGTTGAGAGCTTTCTATGTTAGAAGTAAGATTTTGAATTCAATTCTGAATTTGACAGAGAGCCATTGGAGAGAAGCTAAAACTGGAGCGATATGATCTCTCCTACCAACTCACTCAAAATTATGAAACTCACTTGGAACTCTACTCAAAAGATAAACTTTGGTATACACTATGTAGATTTATGTAATAATTAAATTTTATCTCACACAAGAGTACAAAATCCCTTCATTCCACAGCTCTAGAGGTTTAAGGCTTGTCCAGTCTACTCCTAAAGCTACCTTGAACTCCAGCCAAATATCTTCAGAGTCCACCCCACCCCTTTTATTTTACCTTTTATAAAAGGCATTAGAGTAATTAACCATTGTAAATTGAAAGCTAAAAAGCAGAGTTAGCCAAAAAGTAGTTTTGAAGAGTGAATTAGGCAAATTGCAAACTTGGCTCCAAATAGAAACTAGTTCAGTGGGGAGTATTTTGTGAACACCTGTGGAAGCTGTAATGGACAACAGTGAACCTTCTAGTGGCTACTTACATTAGGCCAGAAGTGTAAAACAGAGGAAATATGATCTCAATATTCTATTTAGTTGTTGTTGGGCAGAGAAAGAGCCAATAACTCAGTGTATATGTTGCAGTGAATGCAGTGAATGTTAATAGTAAATGAACTGTACTTCTATAGGAACTTTCTTGTCAACCAGCTTATTCAAAAGCTTTATAACAATCTGTGCCCTCATTTATCCTTCCACACACACACTCCCACAACACTCTACTACATGTCTGCAAAACTAATCTGAATAAATCATTGTAAAGAGTGTAATCAGTGCTTTAGATCCAACACGGATGGGGTGGTCACGTACAGATGCAACCTATTTTAAGGAAGTATTTTCTGGTATATTTTATTTAAATGTTTACTGTTATTGTTGTTAAAAAGTTTGTTTTATGAAACTGTGTTTTGTAGCCAGTTTTGTAAAATAGAATTTCAATCTCAGTGAGTTTCTCCATTATTGGAGCTTCAATTTAGCGGTCATTGCTGGTAATGCACTTCAATATATTTAATTTTCCACTTAAAAATAGAACCTATACATTTATGATGGTAACATACATTTATGTCAAAGACTAAATACTTAAATTTTTTATAATATAATTTTTAAACATGTTTTTAAAACATCCCTATCAAATCTCTCAGTCAGAGTCAGAGTTTCTTTATTGTCATTTGCACCTCATGTGGTACATGTGGTGGAGTGAAATTATGTACACAGGGTCCCAGTTACATCCAACAATAAAATGTAAAAGAACAACAGTAAGAACATCTAAGATATGAACTAAGAAAAACATCAACTAAATATACACTAAGCACTCATAACATAAAAACATTACGTCAAACATCAGCACAAACATGAACATGAGTCTGTGTAAGCAGATGAGCACGCATGAACACATCAACATTGAAACAGATCAGCAGCAACACAATGCAATTTTTTCACAGTGGTTATTCTGGTTAGAGATTCATGAGTCTAACAGCCTCAGGGTAGAAGCTGTTCCTCAGTCTAGTGGTTCTACACTTAATGCTCATCAACCTCCTTCCTGAGGGGAGTGGGGCAAAAAGTGTGTGTGCTGGGTGAGTGGGGTCCTTCATGATGCAGGTGGCCCTCTTCCTGCATCTAGGGGTGTAGATGTCTGTGATGGTGGGGAGGCTGACTCCAACAGTCTTCTGTGCAGCTTTCACTACTCTCTGCAAAGCTTTTCTTTCTGCAGCTGTGCAGCCTCCATGCCACATGTTGATGCTGGAGCACAGGATGCTCTCCACTGCACACCTGTAGAAGGAGTTGAGGACTGAGCTTCCCAGACCAGCTTGTCTCAGCCGTCTGAGGAAGTAGAGTCTCTGATGAGCTTTCTTGATCAGGCTGGTGGTGTTGTTGCTCCAGCTGAGGTTGTCATTCATGTGTACACCCGAATACTTGTAGCTGGAGACCACTTCCACCGCAGATCCTCTTATGTTCTGGGGGGTGTAGGTGTTTTTGTTCTTTCTTAAGTCCACAATCATCTCCTTTGTCTTCTTCACATTGATGTGAAGGTTATTCTCTTTGCACCAGCTCTCCAGGTGTTCCACCTCTTGCCTGTAGCTGGACTCATCATTGTTTGTGATGCATCCCACCACCGCTGTATCATCTGCAAACTTTACAATGTGACAGCCTAGATGGGTAGCTGTACAATCATATGTGAGCAGAGGGAACAAGAGGGGGCTCAACACATATCCCTGAGGAGAGCCAGTGCTGAGGGTTATGGTGGAGGAGGAGAAGTTGTGGATCCTCACTGACTGTGGTCTGTTTGTTAAGAAGTCTAGTACCCTGTTGCAAATGGAGGGGCTTAGTCCTAGTGTGGATAGTTTGTCCATCAGGGTTTAGGGGA